GGTTCATTTTAGCCTTTGTCGTTGTGGAATGATGCCAACATGTAGCTACCATGAAGCGCCTCTTTACGGCTGCTAGGTAGTCACTGACCACGCCCATACGTAATTCAGCACAATGAAGCTGCAATGGGTTATTCTCCTACCTTTACCTTTATGTTTTTCATATAATATTTTTATATATTACTTACAGAGGATTTATTAGAATTTATTTTTATTTTTTGTAGATTTCATATTGTAATAATAATAATAATAATAATAATAATAACACTAGATGTTACAATTTTCAATAACTTTCTCCTCCCCTGAGGGTCACTTCATGTCCTCAGCAGCCGGTAAACCAGCACATTTTTATCTGTCCACCACAGGGGCCGAGTGGACCAATACACAGGGGTAACACCCTACTCGCCTCGAAAGATGTACTGGTTTCTTTAAAGTGCACATGAGCATTTGTGTACAAAGTCCTTATCCGAGATGGCTTGTTCCACCACCAGAGGAGCGAGACAGCCATGAACCCGTGCCGATATTGTTGGCTATACAAAGTTATGACAACCCTGCCTTAACCGATCGGCCATTTGACTCGCTCAAATTATGAAAGTTTAAAAATCTTTAAATAAGAATGCCATAGAGGGCTCTAGTCTGAGTGAAAAATGCCTATTTAATTGACAATTGCAAATTTGTTACAGATGGCATTTATATTATATATTATTTTCTTACCTATATAGACTTCATTGCCAATGATTGACAGCTCCGGTTTATACCAGTACTCTGTCAATTTTGGATTCATAACAAGATGTTCCAAAGCAACACTCAATATCTTCTTGGTTAGTGCAATTCGAATAAAAAGGCGGCCCCTACCCTGGTGGGTTCGCACCTAGAAGTAAAGACACAAAAACATTAAAATGTATGCTTAATAATAAGTAATCATATGGTGTGTGTCAACACTATTTTGATAGTGACTTAAAAGCACACTAGAAAGGTTGTTGTGATAACGATGTAAGAGTTGTCTTCCAATCAAATGTCATGTTCACAGAATTTTTTCTCCAATGACAAAAAAAAATCACTTTCCTAAAGCTGGTTTTCACTTGGCGAATTCATTCGCGTGATTTGAAAGCATCGGTTCATGCACATGCGCATTCAAATTCCTATCAGATTTTTTGCAAAGTGAAAAAATGCGCAACCAATCAGAGCTCAGGAAGCGAACCAATCCTTTAATTCGTGCGAATAAATTCTGCTAGTAAAAAACAGGCTTAAGATTCACAATGGAACTTTATGAAAAGTATCTTATGCATGTACAGTATGTTTGCCTAGAGTAATTCATCCGGTGATTTTTAGTATTTATGCTGTTGAATGAAATGAAATAAGAAGTAAGCAGCAAGAGTTACATTCAATATACAGCCCTGTACGTGTATTCAAAATCATACTAACACTGATTTTTTTTTTTATTGTATTCCTTTAGGCACATGGCCAAGGATTAACAATTAGTGACATATATACTGTAATCCCTTCATATGACAAACACATGACTAAGTCTTTCATAACAAGGCTTATGGAGTGGAGCTGTTTTGTCGCGAGAAAAAAATCCTGGAACCATAAACGATTTGAACCCAGGAACCTGGGATTGGAAGGCGAGCATCTTAACCACTAAGCTACTGTATTCAACTCCACTCATACTTTATAAGGACTGACAAGACTACAATAAACTTTACAGACGACTCCAAAACTCATTGTTACTGATAGTGTACAAACATGACATGTTGTTCATCATTAAAACCAAAATGTACAGGAGAAATTTCTGCATAAATAAATACTGTATTATCCGTAAGGCGGACTTTTTTATACCTTGTTTAACAAACCCGCCACCTGACAATAATGATGAAAGATTGTCAAAGGAGGGCGGAAAAAAATTATATAATTAGGAAGAAATATACATCATAACATCAAAATTTTAAAAAAAAACTTTTATTTTCTTCTAAATTTTTTTTTCATGGTGGCGGGTGCGCTAATTGCCAAAAATTAAATTTTATTTTTATTCCAAGTTATTATTGGCAGAAAATGGGTTCTCTAAACAAAGTATAAAAGAGTCTTGCCTAAGAAATAATACATGGAAAAGAAAACCATGGAGATAAATTGTTAAACATGGCCATCCATAGAACACAGGAACCATTCTTACCTTCTGTGATGTTCTGCATTCTTCTAAGGCGATTGAAAACAATGGATTTAATCTGAAAGAAGAGAATTGCAAATGGTATATGATATAATAATAAATTTAATGATGAAATGTTTGTATAATATAATGATACACCAATACAGTTCACAATAAGAACTGAAGTAATGAGAACAAGGGCAGTGGTGGCGCCATCAGGTGGGCAAGGGGGGCATTTTCCCCCGTTGGATAGGCCTACCCCCTGTAGTCCAACGCACAACAGGTTGTTGGATCAAAAATTTTAAAAATAATAATTTGCTTATCCAAATAAAGTCATTTTGATTGCCAAACCCTAATATTGTGTTTGTCTAAAAGCACATTTTGGACCATACTAAGCCATAAAAACTCTCCCATGGACACTGCCGGGGATTTTTTATTTTAGTCCATCGACCGAGGCTTTGTCGGACCCCTTGGCAACAACATTTCTGGCACCACCACTGGACAAGGGACGAACAAAGAATGATTTGGAAAACCAAACCAAAAAGGAAATTTAATACAAAAAATAAATTTAACGGCAGAATATAAAGATGGAAGAAGTATTAGATACACTTAACCAGTAAAATAGGGAAAAAAATAACAAGAGTTCTTTTATACAAAAGTGCTGGACAATTTGCAATAAACAAATAGGAATTAATTTTTCTCCTCTTCAAATATATTGTAAATTGTACCTTTCATTAAAAGTATAACTGGGAAGAGATTCAATCCAGCTCCAATAATCTCTCTTGTAAAGACCAAATAAAGAACCAGGATCTGAAAAAAACAAGAGAGACAATGTTATTATTTAGTATCACAAAACTGTGTACAAGAAAGAAACACAATACAACAAGTTAAAACTTAAAAAAATAGATCACATCAAAATTTAAGAAGTTCAATTAATGATAAAATTATACAATTTTAACCTCTAACTATAATTAATTTAATTATAATGGGAATGACATTTACAACAAAATTACATTACCAGTGAAGGAAAAAAAAACAATTTCAATATACAAAAATAATTTTAATTTGCCAATTATTTTCTTAGAAATTTTACATATTTTGAATATCTTACAGTCAAGTGATCAACATAAAAATAATGAATATTATAACCTAATAATTAATTAAATTCTAACTAAATGACAAATAAATTATCCGTATAAAAGACAATAAACAATATAATAATATAACTTAAACCTGGTTTTCCATGTTTTAAACAAATTACGTCAAATTTATGCCTGTTTGAAAATAACAATAGAACAGCAAAATCAATTATAAAATGGAAGATCTGAAAATTAATATTAAGACTGGCATGATATATTTAATAAGCCAATCATAATTTTACAAGGAAAAAAATTAAAACATTTTTAAACAAATTACATCATAGTATGCCTGTTTTAAAATAAAAAATACAAACAATTGCATATTTCTTATTAATTTTGAATTTTATTGTTTTATTGTTTTTATTGTTTTTTATATTGTGATGTAATATGATTAACTTCCAATATGCTGTTTCAATTTAAGCTTCCTAGCATTTAATCATCCCAGAATGTTAGCTTCCCATAATTTTAACTTTCTCTTTTATATTGTAAATTTTTATTCTTGTCTATTATATAATAATGCAAATGCATATTTTAATGGAATTTTTGCAATGAAAATGAATAAACTAAATTATTAATTATTTATTACATTTTTAACTGCAAAATGAAAATATGAAAGGGAAGAAGCTAAAAGCAGAGTTTGTAACAATGTAGAGCTACAAAACCCAGTTGGAAACTACTTACTTTTCAAACCTTTTCTGAAAATCTTCTCAAAGCATTCACACAGATTCTGAAGTTCAAAATGATGATCAGTAATGGGCTTGTCTTCTGAACGAAGCTTTAAAATTATCCCTGATGTGTGTATATAAGGAAATAAAATGAAAATCATTATAAATTGTATTTCAAATTACTTTGTTTACGAGGGGAAACAGTCATAAGAAAGTGTCCAAACCACAAGGATCTGTCACGCCAAAATTGGTTCAGGTCAATAAAGATCCAGTAGACAGATTTTAGCCTAGATTTTCGGGTCGATATTAGCCACTAAAACCAGTCTCCCTTGAATAAAATTGGTCCGTTGGCATGTCTGCTTGTAACACGTTTGCTGCCCATAGGGCAGGGTGTGATTGTTTCTCCTGTTGAGTGGATGGAAGTAATTTATGCTCCTCCAACACTTGCAAAATCTTTTGCAGTGACGGAATGATTTGCTTAAAGCTTTTGTGGACGTGCTTTATCAAACACACCTGGCACTTCTAACGCCCAGGCGACACACAGCATGCATCATTTTCGGCGGCCGTGTTTAAGCCTTGGTTTGGGCCTAAAATGAAACACAAGACCGATGTATTAGTTTTAAATATTCAATATTATTGTGTGGGGTATTAGTATCATACAATACTTGTTCTATTACACAAAAAAAATAAAGGGGTATTAAAGTAATTTCTTTTAAATGATTGCTCACGTAGGCCTATTTCGTCGCAGTGTAGCAAGCACACAACCAAAACAAAACAAGGTAAAAGAATATTTAAACTAAAGCAGACCAACACAATTTCGACCATATCTTCTTTTTATCTTTTGCACCATAGAGTTTATTGGGTGCGAAGAGTGAAAATAATGTAATAATTTTGGTTGCTGTATACTCAAAACGAATGAAAAAACATTATATAATAAGAGATGAGATATTTGTCTATCATTTGATTAAAAACAAATATGAAAAAAGCTAAAAAATACATGTTATGTTATATTTACTATTAAATAGACGCTGGACCGATTTTGGCTTATGTGGACTACATTTGGTACAGTAGGTAATTTTAGAGCCAAAATTGGTCCGGTAGACCAATTCTTTTCCCACAGATCAATAACTAAAACTAAATATCAGAGGTCCTAAGTCTCCCGAAATCGTGCGAGTCTCTCGAAAATTGGGACGCCCTTTTGCACTCCTGCAAGCAGGCAAGAATCTCCCAGAAAATAACACATCTCCTGCAAATTCATAATAATTGCATGATTTTACTATAATTATCAACTGTCTCGCAGAAGTCAGTACTAAAGAGAATCACCATGCAAATGAAAAAAAAATTAAACGTGTCACAGAAGTAACTTTTTCTAACTTGGGACCCCCGACATATTCTCACCACTTGCTATCCAGAGGCAGTGCCAGGAATTCCCAGACAAAGAGTAAAAGCTCCCTGACAAGGGGGTCCAATCCCCCACTGTCAGGGAAGCCTAGCTCCCCTCCCCCAATCGTCGGGGAAGCCTCCCCTGGTGGGAGAAAATATTTTATTTGTCGGGGAAAAAATTTAATTTTGTCGGGCATTTTTTTATTAAAAAATTACATTTTGTGTTTAATTATTGGATTCAATTTAAAAAAAGATGATTTGATAGAAAACCATGCAAGTTAAGAGTCTCCCTGTCGGGGGTACATGTCCCCCTGTAGGGGGTACCCCTTTTGGAGGTACCGGCCATTGTCGGGGAAGAGCTGGTGCCACCACTGCAGCGATCACGATAGTCAGTATATACATCACCTTGCACATACGGTAGCACTACTTGCACTTGTAGGGGCTCATACAGACTGCGCAGAGACTAGTGACCTGAGGTCATTATGTACTACACGAGGCTCTCACACACACACACACATTCACGACCCACTGGATGGCATGAACGACAGTACAGTAGACTGAAAGACGAATTGCATTGTAATACCATTTTCACTTATTCCTCAACGGTCCGTACCTCTTGTAGAACGCGAATTGGTAGTGTATTTATACTTTACCAAAGTGGCGACCCCGACGTGCGGTATTGTGTCCGAGCCGAGTTCTTATTGCATTTTCTTTCGTCTTTTCTACTTGCTAGTTTTTAAAACAACAGTTTTTAATCCCTAAAATTTGACAGCTTTAATTGATAGAGGCATGCCTAAATTGTACTTTCGGTGCTCAAAATTAGATTTTCCCCCCAGTGATCTTAACTGGAAATTCACTGATGGGGGTCCAAGCTGGGGTTCCAGAGGTCCCTGACGGGATCCTTTTCCCCCGGACCCCCGCTAATGCCGCCCCTGTTGCTATCATCAACACTTTTGTTTTCTTTGTTGTTTTTCATGAGTAATATAAGTTAATAATAAGTGGGGGAAAGGTCACAACTCCTCAATCAGTGAAAATGCTACCCCCACTCACCCCTCCAATTGCCTTCCTAACCGAAAACATGCAATCATGAGATTAAAAATCACCTTCTTCATAGCCCCAGCTAGTGTCACCTCACTTTCTTATCAGTTTCACCGTCATGTCAACAAACCCTGGGGCCTAGGCCTACTAGCCAGAATATGCCACTTCCACTTACTTAGCCTAGCCTAGGGATTAGGCTAGGCCAATTTCCTAGGCCTATCCTATTTCATTTTTATTTGTCTAATATTGAAATAGGCCTAGGGCTAGGGTCCCTAGCAGTGAGTACAATTTTAGGCCAAAAAATAAAAATTGTAGGCCTATTATTAATATTATTTTTTTTGCCCAGGGAACAGTGAAATTTCACTGTTCCCTGGTTTTGCCCTTCCCCACAAATACAAATTCTAAATAGGCCTATAATAGGTATAGGCCTATGTCTAGTACCAGGTATCGCCTAGTTTAGGTCTACTCAAAGAGCCTCTTTCCAAGAGCGTAGACCAAGGCTCTTCGACTGTACACAACCCCAGTAGACGCCACCAAGCTAGGCCTAGCTCACTAGGCCTCTACATACATGTGATGGATAAAGCTAGCCGGGAAGGCTCGGCAGAAGTTGGATGGAGGAAGACTCTAGCTTGGCTTAAGTAGGTTTTGATAATCTAAGGCTTAAAATACCTTTTAAATCAGTGAGCAATGGATCTTTGTTGGATGACATACTATCAAATGCTGAATATAGTAATCAACAAATGTATCTGCATTATTAATTCTTTAAAAATTAGGCCTATTAAAGTCCTTTAGCAGCCCAAATACGAAATCTGGTAACGTTCAGATGATCTCCTTCTACGTACGGTTACGTCACCGACCACGCTTCACTGAGCACACACCCGAGCACACACCCAAGTATACCCCATGATCCAAGCAAAGTCTGCAGTCTGCGTTTTCAGCCAATCAAAAACGAAAAAAAATCAGGAATCTAACAAATTTTCAATAAAAAAAATTTTGACATGTATTTTAAGAATGAATGAACCGACGGATAGACAAACGAACGAATGTTGCTTTTCATATTATTGTTTGTCAGAGGTTGAGTTCATTCGGCCTCTGGTGGGTATGGGATTTTTTTTTTTTTTTTTTTTTTCAAAATAATTGTGAAAACAAGACGATTTATAATTTAATAGGGCCTTTTTACAGGGCCTAAGCTATAAGATTCAGAAACGAGCAGTTATCATTTGACTATTGCTGCCTGTACCGGTAATCTGAGCCTTTGTGATGTCTCCAGTGTGGAGATGTTCTCATTTTCAATTAATTCGGCCCTTTTATATTTTGTATTTTTAATTTTTTTTTTTTTTATTTATTTAAAATTTATTGTTCATGTTCAGTGTTTTTATTTATTTTCTTATAGCATTTTTAATGGTTTTTATTATTTTCCAATGGCATTCATTGTTAATTTTTTTAAAGTAATCCCTTTATTTCATTTAATTTTTAATTTTAAATGAATGTAACTTTTAATTTTCGTGCAATTGTTGTTTGAGTTGATACATTTTGTGCAATTCTTGATGTTATATTTATATATAGTAGTTAATATAAATAATTAATTAATAATTTAATAAATTCTCTTTATTATGATATTCAATGTATATATTTCTATACTTAATGTTATTGTATTATTTTGATTAAATAAATAATAATCAGTAATCATCTGTCTTGTAAATAAAAATATATTGTATAGGCCTATTTTTTAGTGTTCGATGTATTTATCTCTCTTTCTATATTTTTAATGTATTATTTATTCTTAACTCGTTATTTTAGTATTGTATTTCACAACGCAATTTTCCACTTTTCTATTTTGTTTGATGTGACGTTAATTTGTTCAAGAAGGATGTAGATATATGAGGGGGTGTGAGGTGCTTGACACCCCTTCCTTTTCGCTGTTTTCTGTTTTGCTATTCTGTTACTGCTGCTCGTTTTGTGCGCAGTGATGAAGCTTAATAAATAAACCAATTAAAAACGTATTTTAACCATTTAATTAATCTAAAATAGAATCACTTCAATCCTAATGTATTATGACCAATGCATATGTTTAATTAATCCTCTTAAATGCAAAAACCTCAAAGGAAATAAAGTATTTTTGCTATTGTTTGGTTTATCTTAGAATTTTTTTTTTTCAATGTATAACTTTGTATGTAAGATACCGAATATAATATTCAATTAATCAAAGATTCTACAATAATGCAGAACCATCATAATAAATCACTGTTAACGTATTAAAATATTGCTTAGAGAAGAATTTATCACTAAATATTTTATTAAAAATAAAGCAATTGGGAATCTCTACGCACGAATTAAGACAAACTTCATTTGAAAATAGAGTGGTCCTACGTAAAGGTGAAGCACCACAACCAATAGTTAAACATCAGCGCTAGTTCAAGACCCTTCTCGCTCATAATTCACGATTCAAAACCAGAGGTATTTCAATACATTGCAAGGAAAGGATTTATCCAGTCTTGTTCTCTCCAGACCCAGTCATGAAAAAATGCGTCTACCAAACGGCTCTCTTTGGCAGTTACTGTATCTGACCATCCTATATGCAGTTTAAAGCACGACGCTGCCGTCACGGGTTACGGTACTGAAATTTCCTCCCTCACAATAATTGTCGCAATAACTTTCGTTGGAGAATGCTAAATAGTGTTTGTTTATCGTCATTAAGACAAAAAAAAATGACTTCTACTTATTCGATTTCCAAGAAAACTTGTTGGTCTATAAATCAAACAATACACATAGAAAACAGCTAGATATAGTCAAGGAGGTTAATTTTAACCTCCTTGATATAGTTCAGTGTTTATTGCATATTAACATAATTGAAAACAGGGCAGTAATTATCCACTGCAAATTTATATCCAGACACATTATCTTATGAGCATCTTTGAAACATAAGTATTAATAACAACCTTTTGAATAAGAAAAACCAAATATTGCAGGTGTATGCCTTGCTAATGTGTTGAAAACTGAAGTGTTAAAGAGATTGTAGGCCCGGCCTGGCGGTTTTTTTGTTGTGTTTTTTTTACATTTATTAGCATTTAAGGCCAATGGACTAGTTTTGTTTATTTTTTCTAAATATAAAATTAATCATATGAACACCTGTAAAGATAAATGCATAAACTATTTGTAACAATAATTGTGATACCTGTAATAATAATAATAATACTTTTAATAAGACTGCTGAAATAGTGAATCAAATCTATTATAATATTTACCAATTACCATAAGTATATTTCTTATAGATTCAGAATGAAACCCTAGAGCATGCAGGTTTTCCTGTGAATAACAATGACATTCTGTTTTGGCTGCAAGAATTTTCCTGAATTTTATCACTTATTAAATTATATATTTATTAATGGTTGTACCTTTGTTATTAATGGCGATATTCAAGGATTTGTATAGCGCACAATACATGTAATGATATTACACAAAAAAAACCAAAAAAAAAACCTTATGACTACTAAGGAAGTCAGAAAACAATAGAACAGACTACCATCACCATTGCATCATTTTCATGCAATTTGAGACCACTGGCAAGCAGTAAATTAACTACTGTACTTGTATAAGCAATTAAATTGTATTTTTTTTATTAATTTCCAAATAAAAAAAACTATATAGTTAATGACACCGCCTACTTAATCAAAAACTTTCCAGCTATAACAACTCCCTGGGTAAACACAGTTCTAAATATAGGCTACTGATTGGAATTGTAAACATATGTGGGTTTTTTCAACATTTGTGCTTCTAATCTTCTAATAATTGTATTTTTATAATGATGCCACTTTTTAGACACGATGATTTCTGAATGTGGGTTGTTACTGTGTATTAAAGTCATTCCCAATCCTTCTTGATATCAAACGACCATTCCCACTCTAAGCATCTGTTTCTGTCATCATCTAAGACGCTGCTTTTAGCAATATAGTGACCGCGTGCAATCATTCCTTTAGGAGCCTCCGTCGTTGGTGTTAGATATTGATAAGGTTCAATTTTTGGTCCATAACTTCCAATCATAAAACTTGATTTATCCACTAAAAATAATTTAAAAATAAATTAGTGTCGTTGATACGACAAAATATTCAACATTTATTCTTGTGTATTTGTATCACTCTTTATGTCATTTTAATACGCTGTTTCTTTTACAATGAGAGTGAAAAAATCAAGCTTATGTATGTAAATCATTTTAAAATCATATCTAACTGAAAATATCAAGAATGTAACTTTTCATATTTTTTTAAATAAATATGTTTTGAATTTTATATAAAAAGGGCTGATACTTTTGCATAAAGTATAAAAAAATGTGAATAAACAGTTATATTATGCATAGCTTCTAATAAAAAAAATATAATAAATAATAAAAGAAAGATAGAAATCCCAAGAAAAAATTTCATATTGTCTTACGACATAAATCTCAGGATTTCATGAAGATTTTATTGTATAGAATAGACATAATAAATACAAAACAGTTTTAAGCCTTCTCAACTACCAATATCCTCTTAATAACAAATGCAGAAATTAAATCTGTCTTTAATTTACCTACTATACCCTTTCGAGAATCAGATTGGTGGTAGCGAAGCCCAGAAACAATTTCTAGGTTTACCTGTAGAATATCAAATTATAAAAATACAAATTTGTACAAAATTGTGATGTAAGTTGCTTTTTAATGTTAGTACCCTCAGTTAACTAATTGATTGATGTATTTAATATATTATTTAAAATGCCTTGACTTATTCTCTGATTGATTGATTTATTTATTTACGGTTTCATTTGTTAGTTTGACTAGGCCTACATTATTTACTTGCTGATTGACAGTTTGAATTGAAATATTTAGTAAAGGACTTATTTCTCTTAACTTTATATAATTATTGTAAATCAATCGCTTAGGGTACTAATATTAAACTGTAAATTACTGTGAATTCAAAATTAAGTCATGTAGCAGGGTGTAGCAATATTTAAATCTATTTACTTGAAAATTGTGTTGTTTTTGTATGTAAAATAAAAAAAGTGCTAAAAAAAATACACTGAATAAACATGTGATTTTAATGTGAAAGTTGGGAAATCTAGTTCAGAGAAATTAAAAAGTACAACTTTTGTTATTGTCGCTACTTAGTAGACTTGTCACAAGTCTCTAATTATAGGTTTTCCTAGTATTAGCTAATTTTGGAGAGCGCCACCAGCGACGGTATATGTCGAAAAACTTTTATGCGACTAAAACGCCAAGCAAATAGGTAATATGGAACGCCAATGGTGCCAAAATCGATTAAAAGACAAAGATTAGGGACTGGAGCCCAGTCTAGCTACTTAGATACATTAATTATGGAACTTACCCTAAATATCACTTGAACTTGGAATTCAACGCCCTCTTTTAATACAACTGGCGTATCTTTTAGCTTTGATAAATCTCCTAGAGTTAACCACAAAATCAAAAAGTGCATTATTATTTACAGTACTGCTACAAAGGTGTAAACAATGTGGCTGAGCATCACACAGCACAATCCAGAGAAAAATTAACATCTACGATTAAGAATCACAATAATATATACATAAATTTAGATTTACATCAGGGTTTTCCATTTAATAACATGTCTATTAATTTTTTAACATTAAGTTGAAGACTATTAACAAGTTTACATTACCTGTTAAGTCAAATTCCTTGATCACTCTCCCTTCCGATAAAATAGCCATTTTCTCCACCACAACATTTGGGCCATCTCCAGTTACAATAAGGAATGGAAGAAATAAGAAATTAGTACATGCATTTTCTATACAATAGGAACTAAGACAGTGGTGGATCCAACAATGGAGCAAAAGAGCTCCCACTACCGGCAACCCACCCTAAAAACATTTAGGGACATTTTGTCTTTCGCCAACCAGCCACACCTTTCTCCTTCACACATAGACCCATGTATGTTTAACTGTCAATACACCTTAAAGCCATGCATTGCATATTATATTAACAAGACATAGGATATACCGAAACTTTACCTTACCTTGGTCAAATCGTGTTGTTAAATACAAAATACAATGTTAAATACAAGGACCATTTTAGTCAACTATGGGTCCCGTCCCGACTTGAAAAGTCCGAGTGATGTAAAAAAACAAATGCATAATAATAATAATAATAATAATTTTGGCTTATATAGCGCATTATGCTAAAGCCTCAATACGCTTAACAGTAAAAATAAAATTCGGGGGGGGGGGGGAAAAAATTAAGAAAAATACAAGCTAAAAAGGTGAGTTTTTAAAGCTGCCTTAAAATCACCAATGGAAGTTGCCTGTCGGATTGTAATAGGGAGAGCATTCCAAAGAAAGACAGAAGCCCAATGCTATCTGTCCCGGCCTTTGTAAAAATAGTGTTTCAACAATTTATTTGTGACGGCAGTCCCACTTGCATGGAAAACTGCTAACATAATTTATACAAGGTAGGAAATAAACCAATGAAAGAAATTACTAGTTACAGACTAACAATGAAAGAAACTAAGTGGTTGATAGGCCTACATAAATACAAAGAAATATGACACATAATAAAAGAAACAAAAGTATGGGGTAGGGCAATTCCACTAAGATCCCAATGATCCGCATACCTAACCCTAAATTCGCAAACTTACATTTTATTTAAATTCGCAAACTTACATTTTATTTAAATAAAGTGATTTTTTAAAATGTTATGCAGTTCGATTTATATTTCGCTGTATACCGAAGTCTCAAATCGCTCGAGGTGTGGACTAGCTGCCAGGGACGTATACAGGGTCCACCCCTGGCTCTGGCCTTCGGCCCTTAGATAACACTGCGCGCTATAGTTACACCAAAAAATACTTAGCCCCCCAGTCGGATATCTTAGCCACCCCCCCCCACCACATAAATTATATCCTAGAGCCACCACTGCATAGGTCTAAGCGTGATTTTAAAAAATCTAAAATCCATAAATCGCAGGCCAGGTCTTTTCAGATACAGAAATCTGATATTGTATTGTTCAGTTTGGTTTTTATCCTTTTGCATATTGTTTTACATGCCCATTTTTCGTGATTAGACCTAACATTTAATTTTCTCCTCCATCTGGATGTTTTTGGCTACACCATTGCTAAGAAAACAATTTTTTATTTCATTTTCCGCCCTCCTCTGACGATCTCTAAATAATAAGTTCGAAACAATGTATTTAAAAAAAAAGGCTTGCCAAATGACCAAATGATGCAGTGGTAAGAAAATATTTAAAGTGGTAAAAAAAATGTTTCATTGTCAATAGTCCTACCTGCATAGTAAATTCCAGTATCGTATACATACTTATACAACACTCAGATACTTGATTTGGTTAATCATTTGTAAAAATTATAAATAGTAAGGAGATAGAACTTAACTTCTGATAGCGCCGATACTGGTTTTTTTCAACTTTCAAAACATAATGACTTTCGGAAAAAGTATGTCTTTCGGTGTATTGTTCTTACCGGTTTAACTCAAGTTATAGGGTAGGCCCAGGCAAGCACCCAGGTTTATAAGTAAATTCATTCAGGTTTTTTTTTTTTTTTTTTGGTTTTGTTTGTTGGTTTTTTTTTGTTTTGTTTTTTTGTTTTTTTTTGTTTTTTTTTTGTCAATAGTCCTTAATCACATTGACATATAAAATAATTAAACGTTCTTCTTTTCACTTTCTTGGTAGTCAACTTCAAATATTTAATAATATTAATAATAATATCCTTAAACATGCTATGT